GTTTGCGAATTTAAATTCGGCGAAAGAGTCGCCAACGGATCGTTTCGAAGAAAGTTTCACAATTTATCTCGGTAGGTAGTTGGCCATTGGCTATTCATAAACATTGTAATCCGCCCAGCTGGACACTTACATATATCGGATTTAATCAAACGGTCAACAGAAAGATATTGGTTGATAAATGAATGCCTCCGTAATAAGTAGAATTTCGCATATTTAAGAGCATAATTAACCTCCTTCATAAACTCCTTCATCTTTTACTGTGAACGGTTGTAGTATTGCAGGCGCTCAGTTGAAGACGATGCACAACGCACGTTTGATGACATGCCATCGTTTAGCAGACCTGTGCCGTCCATCGGATAGTTTCGACAGGAGTGCTGAGGATACAAGACGACTGCATATGAATCTGTCGTTGTATCGGCGAGGTGGACTGAATGGTTTGGTGTTGCTGGTGAATCGAGAACCACTCTATCATATCCATAACAAAACAGGTATGGAATGCATTTGTTAAAATTTCGTTTATTTTGTTTCTTCTTTGAGAATACTGATTATAAATAACGGCAAACGGACATGAAAATGTTCGTCGTAAATGCGATGTGTGTGTGCGCATGTTAACCTGGGGAAGTTCTTTGAATGTAGTCGTTTTTGGAAGATTGCTGGTGTCAGGTGGAGTGTGGTTTCCGGTGCGAATGGTTTGAAGAGGGCATTCATAGATTTGGATTAGAATGATTTCGGAGTATTTCAGAGTTCGCTAGAATTTGCGAGCAATCCACTGAGCTACATTTCGATCCACTACAACGGCAGTTAGAAGAAGTTTCTTCGTGTGTTCGTTTTTGATCAGTCAATTTTTCCGTTGAATATCAATTGATTTCTATTATGTTCCCATTTGTTATGTTCTCTTTTCGATTGGTAGCAGTCTTCATTAGAGGTTCATGAGGTATCCCAATGAGGAGAGATAGTGCTTTTGTGTTGTGCTGCTTGTTGAACGTTTGTTTTGTTTGAAGCTACGCGATATTTGTAAGGATGCAGTGAACGAGTTGAATGGTGTTGAAATGAATCGCGACGAGAATTCGTTGCAAGTCGGTGATGTTTATGTGACAAGGCATTCAAATATCTCAACATTTCAGGTATGCTCATTTATTCTGTGAGCTCATTTGCTCGCTCGTGTTGTTATTGGTTAGTTCTTATGGAAATGAATGCATTTGTTAAATTTTTGTAATAGATATGTTGATTTGGGACTTAACTTGAAGACGATGTGGACTTTCAAGAAGTTTTGTTCAATAGAAGGAATGGACCTTTGGTTCCATCTGGAATTTTCAAAATGTTTTTAAAATCAACAATTATTCTGAATGAGTTAATTTCTTAGGTAATCTTTCACTTGGTTGTTGACGAAGCGCTGGAGAATGACGATATATCTAGTCGGTGAGTGACTTCGTATGTTTGAAGCAGATATAATTTGGCGTTATTTTGGTGGAGGTTTTGATTAGTGCTGTATTGAACAACTGTGGAGTGAGTGGTGATTGGAATGAGTATGTTCTTTTAAGGCATCCATGTATCAATGGAATACGTAATGTTATTCGATTGTCCTCAAAATGTGGCGTTACAACGTTCAGTATCCCGTTGTTACTGGTTGAAAATACGAATGAGGTTGCTGATTTTTCAATCGTAAATATAAATTTATGAAAAATAGAATTAAAAGAATACAATTCATATGGGAACGAAACGACGAATATACTGCCTCAACAATAGTTGTGATTGTATTCGTTTGTGTTTTAGCGTATGACAGTGTCGTGGTGTTTGAAACGAGCTGAGTTGGTGTTCAAATGTGTAAAAGGCTTCATGATGGAAGCGTGTACGGGTAGTTCTACGGCCGGTGGAGGCCCTCCAGTGGCCGCAACCCACTACAATGTGAACTTCGTGTTGCCTGAAGCACTCGCCGATAATGTTTACTCGCAAATCATCGAAATGTTCCCAACAATATTTCATCTCGTTCCATCGGTGGTTGTATAAATGAATTATGCAGTTCGTAAACAGAGTATATGTGATGTGATATCTATTATGAATTGTATTTGGAGATATTCACTTGCATTTGCATTTTAATTTGAAGTGATACTATCTGTAAATGTAGCAGTTTCATTAGAAATTGTCATTTTCAGTAAATTAATTTTAAAGTGTTGATTTGTTAGCATTCAAAGGACTGATAAAATGATTGAAGTGAGAGACATTTAATAGTATGCAAATCAATTGAAAAAATTCTTGTTTTCGTCAGTGATGAAAATTTCTTTGATCGAAGAGAGATGTTAAACCGGAAGATTAAGTGTGTAGCAGTCTAGTGGTACAATGGATATGGAATGCTTGTAGAAATTTAGATACATTGTTGGAAATAGCCATTTTTCGTCAGCAATATTTGAAACTCTTCTAAGAGCAGAGAATCTGTTGAAGCTGTTGTTGCACACAAATCAAAGTACTGCCGCGGAAAGCTTATGATACAATAGTTTGAAAATAGTTCTCGTGGTGCTATTGTATCAATGGTCAAAATAGAAATCAGCTGTACAGAGTGTGACGGTCTGATGAAGTCGCTCAGCTATATGGCTTATCTTTCGTTGTGGAATGAGAGATTTTCGGCTGAATGAATGAATCGTCATAGCTTTCGGATAGTAGAGATTCTCATGCATCCTGCAATTGTTCAAAAAATCATTTGCTATAGGCTCTTTATCTTTATCGCACGTCTAAACACCTTGCGATTTTCAAATGCTTTAAAGATTTTGGCGAGCTCGCCTTACTAACATGGAAATATCTTGGAAGTGTGGCGTATTGCTCATAGGTGTGTCCAAAGATGAAATCTGTACATGCGGAAATTTGCATACGAAATTTGTGTGCTATCAATTATTTTATTGATAATTATTCAATTCATTTTGAAGTTATCGTTTTGTTGTTGTTCGTTACTGGAGGTGTTCAGGGGAGCATCAATCGAGTCAGTCGTTTATGAAACGGCCTTAAAAATCGCGACTAGTTTCCCGTACACATAGCCACATAGCCACACACGTAGCAGCGAACACGCGGCAATACGTGAGATCCCCTTCAAAATTCTCCATCTCATCCGATTAGTTACGTATAAATGATGAACGCAATCGTTGTGATGTTTTTGAGCTCAATTTCTCATTTTGTGCTTTGAAAATATGACTTCTGAGGCGCTGATCATGATTTCTAATTGTTATGAAATCATTGATAATTATAGCGAATGCGAAAACCACTGATATTTTGCGTGATTTTATTTTGTTTTTTAAGTATTACCGTGAATTCGGAAACAGTCTGATTCAGTTGAGTATGCTCAACGAAATTATTTGATGTTTTTTTGATTATTTCGTTGGAATATTATTGATTCATTATCGGTACGCACATTATCGAAATTTTAATGATTGTTGAAGGAGGATCATGTTATTGGAATGTTGTTAACTTTACAGATTACCAGTTGCTGCAATTTATTTTGTGAGCAATATTCTTAGCAAAGCACATTCCATTGAGAATTGCGCAACCAGTGGAAATTCGATCAGAAATGGCCGCGACTTCGTCTGAAGTATCGAAGAAGATTCGCGTACGTTTTCGACGTTCTGAAGTATACTTCCTTAGTATATCTTTGCACTCATGAAGTGTCTTATGACACTGTTCAAGTTTTCTTTCAGTTTTGATTTATTCGATCACTTCCAGTTAGAATCAAAAATATCTCTACGAAATAAATTCATTGCAAAGGTGATATTTTCAGGCAGCAATCAAGGCCAAGTTGGAGGAGTTGGGTGTTTATGTGGACGAGGAGCTACCCGACTATATCATGGTCATGATTGCGAATAAGAAGGAAAAATCGCAAATGAAAGACGACTTGCAGTTGTTTCTGGGCAAGAATTCTGCTAAATTCGTTGATTGGTACATTTTTTATTCCATGCACACAACATTCATTATCGCTTCTAACGTAATTTAATGTTGTGTTTGTTGGTCTCTCCCGTCGAAAAAATTTTTCTTGTCTGCAGTCAACATTCATCAAACGAATCTGAGTTGGGCATTGGATTGATTGATTGATTTAAATTGCATTCATTAATGTGATGACGATTGCAGGCTTTTTGACATATTTGATCGTTTACAAACGGTCGGCACAACAACCACGCCACCGAACACAAGCACTCTGTCCTCTTCATCGAACACTCAGCAGTTGTTGAAACGAAAAGATAGTGGCGATAACCAGAAAACAATCGAGAAATCAAAGGATGATTTGGACGTGAAGAAGAAAGATCGAAAACGGCGTGAAAGCGATGGTGGTTCGAAGGAATTCGTCGAGAAAAATAAGAGCTCTGAACAACGAATTGTAAAGGAAGCGAAACGAGAGCATGAGAAAGAGGATAAAAGCAGCAAAAAACGTGACAAATACGAAGCCAAAGTAGTGAAGTCGAAAGTGAGCAGTTTTTGAAACTTCGTTTTTTTTGGCGTTCGCCAAGACGACTCGAATAATTGAATGATTTCCTCGTAACCTGGGAATATTGTCATAATTATGAAAATTCTCTTTTTGTTGAACATTTTTAAAGGGCTGTTGATGAGTTTCATTATTTTTTTGTGCTTGAAACGATCAGTAATTTTAGCCACCATCCTCATTGCATCATGATGATTTGATTTCGTCTCATCAGAAGAGTGGTGTGGCTCGTAAACGAACTGATCATTCAGTAGTTCACAGTCATAAAGGTACTAGTTTCATTTATCAGTAATACTTTCAAATATGGATTGTGTCAGTTTGCCAGTGTGGCTGCTCAGGAACTTTCTGCCACACCTAATATTTTTACTTTGATAGGATATCACATGCGATAATTTCGTTTGTATTTTGATTCATTGCATGGTTATGTCGTATCTTGTGTTCACGTTAACCTATAGCTGATCGGTGACACTACAATGATTTATCATGAAGTTTCAGTATGCGGAGAACTTTACTTTAGATAATTTTTATCATGATTTTGTTCTTGAAGTGAGTGTAGCAGCAAAACGAGGTGACGACGAGAAACGACCGGAAAAGGTCCAACGCAAAGAAGAGCGAAAATTGAGTAAGGAGAAGAGCATCGAGCAAAAACAGGAGGTGAAACAAGTTGCGGTGAAAGAAAGGAGTGTGAAGAAGCTGGAGAAGAAGAAAACAAAAGCAAAGGAAAAGGAATTGCAACCGACTGAAAAACTTCCTGCAACTACACAACCACCAGCAGAGTTTGTTTTTGTTATTTGTTTATTCGTTTATTTGTTTCAGTTAATCTATCCATCCCATTATACGTCCACTTCGAATGCTCTCAAATGAAGCAAATCTTTTAATTCGATTACTTTCAGAGCGTCTGCACAAAAAGTATTGCGTAAACGAAGGATATCACCACCACCATCAGCCAAAGGCACCTCACAATCACCGTTGGAGCATAGCCGGAGATCGAGTGTCGCTCACCAGGAACCGCTAGAGAATACGGCGACGGTGCCGCCGGCCACAGTTAAACCCTCTCCACCACCTGCACCACCTAAGGTGTCATCAGTGGCTGTGTCAAGGATGTCCCAAGTGGAGCATCCAAAGACGGTATCGTCGCAGATAGTCGTCAAACGAAAATTGCCGGACAAAGAAAACACGTTAGTGCTAATCTTGAATGCAAAAATTCTGCAGAAATGTTTTTTGAGATCATGTTGAAGATTTAAGTGGATCTTGGATTGCCCTCGAAAATTTTTTAGATATCGGGATGTCCATCTGATATTATAGGAATAAAATTTGACGTAGCTTACAGCTTATTCAGTTTTTTGTTCCAATTTTAGACTGTGATAGTTGGTTGAATTGAGTGATTTTGGTGAATGTTTGAATTATTTGTTCGAGTTTGAGAATTGTTGTGGATTTGTGAGTGTACAGTCAAGATGAAATGAGTAATTTGCAGGAAGCAAAACAGTGGTGGAGTGAAGTCGTTGTTTTTGAAAGCGATCAAAGAGGCCGGTGAAACGACGCGAATCGCGAGTCAGAGTGCGGGCTACGGAGGTGGTGCGGCTGCGTGTGCTAATGCAGCTGGTGTGTCCGCTTCGAAGACGTCAACTCTGCGTAAACGAGAGAATCTCATAGAACCACCGAGATCTGTGGTGAGTACTGCAACGAAACGAGATGATGACGAATTGAGTGTGGTGGAAGACGAGGTTTGTTTGTGGTTTGGTTTATTTTGTTTTGGTTTTAGTGGTTTCGTTTAGGGAATATCTTAATATATTCATTTTCTTTTTTTTGTTTCTGAAGTTTATGGTGTTGCTCTCGTTGAAAGCTGTCATGTTTTATGAGCGATATAAGCAATTGGTTTTGTTATTTTATGTTATGGTATTGTTGTCGATAATGGTAATAAGATTTGGGATAGTAATGGTGATAATAATCATAACAATAGTGATACCTTGGTGAGCAAGTAATGATGGGAGTTTCACAATTTCATTAGCATTGTTGTCATTATTTTTGCTATAATTAAGGTGATTTCGTTATGAATTTGATCAATTTGATTGTTGTTTTCTAATCGTATTGTGAATATTATGGTGTTTCATTGATGTTTTTGGCTGAGTGATTGTTTGAAGTGGTACTGAATTGATGATATTTGAAGGGTATTGAATTAGACGATTATGGTGATGTGGAGGATGCGTTGGTGGTAATACCGGCGACAACGTCGAAAATGAGTGGGGGACAGCAACATGGCGGTAGCAGCAGCAGATCAGTGGTACGTGGAATAGAGGAATGCGTGGAAAGTGAACAGGAGGTGGACTCGATCGCACGTAAACGACGTAGAATCACGACGTTAGTTGACTGGTTTTGCTTTTGGATTGCTGACTGATTTTAGTCGGTGTGAGATGGATGGATGGATGTTATTGTTTTAAATGGGGTGAAGAAATTGAGAATATTTATTTAGTGGCAGTGTTGCTGCTGGTGGCGGTAGTGGTGTTAGTGCTGGTGGTATGAAAAAAGATGAAGAACCGACGAAGTTTTTCATCACCATGAAAGGCGGTCAGCGAATTCCCTCAACGAACCTGTCGAGTGAGAGCGTTCAGTCATCAACTAAACTGAAAGTAAGCATGGACGATACAAAGAAAGAACCGGAACGGGCGAGAAAACGACGAAATGAAGCGAATCCAAGTGAGTATTCGTTTACTTCTTTGTATTTGTTATATGTTTCATTCATTTTGTTCAGTTGTATTCGTCATTTGTTATACGATGAAATGAAATTATCGTTTATAGATTGATTATCGTTAAGTCATATTGTAAATTGACTGTTAATCAGTGAATAGGTATTGCATTCTTGAGAATTTTGAATGCAACTAAATATGTGGTGAACTGATGCCAGCTTGTTCGATGGACTCGTTTTAAAGTTACTGAAAATTAGAGCTGTTGTTACGATGTTAATGGTGATAATGAATTTGACGATAACTGATTCTAGTATTGGCACACTTGAAACTGTCAGACGATCGCATCAGAAACACTGGCAATACGATCACCCGTAGAATACAATCAATTGAAAATGATGGCGAACGATTCGAGAAGAAACCGAGAAAGGAGCAGAAAAGTGGGCTGACCGATGCCGAAAAGAGCGTCGATAATGATCTGGTGTTGGCTTCGGATGGTGTGGTACTGAGTGAGGTGAGCAGAGATGTTCGATTCGTTTTGATGTGTACCTTACCTTGATTTTATTGTCATGAATAGTGCATATTTTTGATAGTATTCGTATTTTGTTGCGCAGGATTCGGTGGATTCAAGACGTACACCCGTATGGGATGGTCAGATTCAGTTGCAAGAAGACGATGAGAGCAGTGATGATGGTATGTTCCTGATAGAGTCGCTTGTTTAGTTATTGAGTTATTGATTTGTTGTTTAAGTGTGTCTGTTAATTTTTAAAATGTTTCAGCCGTATACAAATTTTCATTTAACGTAATTTTCGTTCTTAGTTTATAAATATTTTGCATTCTTTGCTAGTAGAGAGGGAGATATTCATGCTGTTGATGTTAAGAGTAGAAAGGTATAGAAATCTTAGATGTGTTGTATCATTTGGAAAATATTATGTGGATTGCCTGGAGAAAAGGTTGCAAATTTTTATTTTCAGAAGCGCAAATAGATGCGGTGCTCGCGAGTACACAGCCAATCACCGTTGGCTTCGATGAGGTTTGTGGTTTCTTCTTCATATTGATGATGGCATAAAACTGAGAACTTTTCAGACAGATCATAATTCTCGAAAGTAATTAAGTTTTGGGTCTTTTCGTGAACGTGAAGTTTCAATTTTTCCCCCACATAGCATCGGAACGTGCAGTTTGAGTTGTTCTTTTGCATGAGTGTCATTATTTCATTTTGTATTTTATCTTAGAATCTTCCAGGTGCCACCCACTCCGACCTTAACAAAGCCGTCGTTCTTCTTGATCAACAATCAGTCACAGTCGAACGCTCGATCTGGACATGTAATCAGTTTTTTAATATTATTCTCATTTTTAATTCTCTAGATTGCCAACAAAGGATATGGTTCAGTTATTGAAGAGATGAGTCGCATTTACTAGAAATTGTCGAAATTTGAATTTTGTTCGAGGCACTCTTCGATTGAGTAAAATTGCTGAGCATTAAGATGAGATTTCAATGTTTTGGAAATGTACAAATTGAGTCGATGAGTCAACTTGAATGTATTGTTGCGATGAGATGAAAGATGATTTTAGGTGAGTTATTTTAAGACATCATCGATATCCGGCTCAATGACATCGAACACGAGTGCTTTGGGTGGTGGTGCGGGTGGTGAGAAGTTAATGGAGCGTTGTAAATTTTGGCCAAATTGTCGTCTAGAAGAGAACTGTATTTATATTCACCCGAATAAGCCGTGCAGGTTGGTTGATTGCATTGAATTTTGGTGTGTAGTGTTGTTGTATGAATTTTGGGTTTGAGCTGTTTTGGTTGTTGTTGTTGTAATCACACTGAGAATATTGCAGTAATTTTCCGAATTGTCATTTTGGAGAGCGATGTCTCTACATACATCCACTATGCAAATTCGATCGTACCTGCACGAATCCGCGATGTGTCTATACGCATTCACCAAAAGCAGTGTATGCTTGTTGTCTTTTCTATATTACTGTTTTGATCAACTTACGATTTTTTTGTTAGATGCTTCATTTTTTTTTGGAAGATGGCGATGAGGTTTTCTGTTCTTGTTTTCAACAAATATTTTTGCAATTTCCAGCAGTGGCGCAGCAGCCGTCACTACTACAACCGCGGCGAATTCAACCGCTAAGACCAATTCAAATCAATCAACAACAAAGAGTGATTCTTCAGCAGTGACCAGTGTTAAAGTTAGCGATGTTTTTTGGTGTTATTGCAGTTGTTTTGGTTTTGTCTCTTTGCTTATCATGCTCATAGCTGCACAACTGAAAGCGAAAATTTTGAATAGACGCAGAGCAAGGTCAATAGATTCGTGAAGTTAAGTTGATCAAGTAGCAGTAGGGCATTTGGACATTTATAGATGCAGAATTTAATCAGATATGATATTGGGAACACTCTTTTAAAAATGCTGATATCGTCGATGAAGTACAATAAAACGGGGAATGAATCAGTAAAGATCGATGATGACTCAGTTGATTTGTTTATCGAAACCAAATTTTTAGTCATCGACTGCTGGGAATACCCCTCAGCTGTCTTGTGCTACAGCAGTCAGCGCAGTTTCCACGCATAATACGACCACTAGCGTAACATCAGCTATAAACGCGCCGTTAAATTCATCGATTCCGTGTAAATTTGCTGGCAGATGCGCCAACCCGAATTGTTCATTCAAACATCCGAAGGTGTTTATTTATTTGTTTGTTTGCATTATTATTATTATTGATGCACTGGATATGGGATAAGTTAAGACCTACTTCAATTTAGAACCTCGAGCGCATGAAAGTCACTGATTCTTAAAGAAGATTACGATTAAGAAATTGAAGGCGTAGAGCAGAATATGAGAATGTTATGTAGGGAGTGTATCGGAATATGATAATTTTGGAAAAATTATTTCATTGTAATGTAATTTGTGAGTGTATATTCCGAAGTTTTGATTGTTAATCCAGCATTTTCCCCCTTACAGTTATGTCGTTTTGGTGAGCGTTGCACGAATCGAGCGTGTTACTTCTGGCATCCGAAGTTGTTGAATTCGACAAGTTCGCTGAATGTTGTGGCCAAATACAAATGGAAAGCACCTCAGTCTCAGCCAGCCGCATAAAATCCGACTGGATGAAGAAGAAGATTATTGAATAGATGAATGAATAGTATTGAGTTGATCATAAAGCGTACTCAGTGTGTTTGTTTGTGAAGTTGATGATTTATATGTGGGTTTTATAAGTGATGATTTCAATGCAAAATGGGTTCATGCTGTATTTGATTGTTGTTATTTATGTATACGTGTTATTTTCTCAAAAAAATTTCATCTTTCTTCAATTATTTTCAGTGTTATTTTATTTGTATTATATTGTTATTATAATAATTATCATAATCATTATATTACTATTATCGTTACGATTGCTATCAATATTGTAATCATTGCCCGTTGCGTCATATGCTGTTGATTGTTTTCCTTTGCAATTATTTCGTTTTGCCTTTATTTCATTCATTCGTTTCTGGTGTATCTGAGTGATTAATTTATTTAAAAACAGTTGAATTATTTGAGTGTTTCGGTTTTAATTCATCATATTTGGGTTTTTAGAAATCAGTTTATTCGAATGTATTTCGTTTTTTTTGAAACATGATCCGTTTACTTTTTCATGGAGGGTATTACGATCCCGCACAGAGCGGCGCCGTCTCGTTGGCCACAAAGCAGACTGACATTTTTGCTCCATTTTTCTCGATTCAGTGAGCGAATTTGACCGTCATCTTCTCCTCATCTGAAGATCTATTGCATCTTAGTGAATGATCGAATGATTAAGAAGTTACCACCAATAATTTTGCGGTCTCATCATATTGACCACTTTCTACCATTATTATTGAAAGGTGAAACAAGCGTTTTGAGAAAATTGCGCAGTTGTGGAAGATATATGGGAAAAAAGTGGTTTAGTAATGTTTGAGCAATCTCCTCCCTTATCGTTAGTGAGCGATTGTTCCCGATCAGAACCACTGTTGCATTGCATTCGAGACATTTGTGTCAGGAATTAGAGTATATTTTATTCGTAGATCTGTTTTGGATGAAGGTATTGTTTAAATGGCAGCGTGATCGGAATGGCTTTTGTGATTATTGCAGCAATACCGATATTGTTGTTATTATTTTCAATATTACTCTTGCTATTCCCATTCTTGCTAGTATTATGATTGTTTGTTATTATTATTATTATTGTTATTAATATTTTTTTAAATGTTCTAGTTAGCATTGTAACCGTTGTTCTTGTTATTATTCTCGTCGTCACCGTTTTTTTATTACGGTCCTCTGATTATGTTTGTCCGATATCTGTGGCTGAAATTATAAGTGAAAGCGTTGTTGATTGTTATCCGTGAAAATATTAGATAGCTATTCAGATTGCTTTTTATCATTTTTCTGATACTACCATTATGATCAGTTGTATTGTTATTGGTGTTGTTGATATCATTAAGTTACCATTTTAATATCATTAAGCTGATTGGTTTTTTATATCATTGTTTTGTTGTCATGATTATGCTGACTATTGTCATTATTATTATTTTATTATTATTATTTCATTATTATTATTATTATTATTATTATTATTATTATTATTATTATTATTATTATTATTAT